TACTATAGACAAAAGCTGGGGGAAATAAAATATGAAACTATGCATATCAATAATAAAAAAATAACCATTTGTTATGCTTTCCTGTAAAAAATCTGAATTTTTACATACGACCTTTTGCACTAATAGTGGCGATATGATAAATATCCACATTTAATATTTTCCTTAACTGCAATTTTATAAGATTTTGTCTCATAAATCGTCTCGGAACAAATACTTACCTATTTACTTGTGTAATTTTCAATTGAATTAAAAGATTATAATTATTATTATGAAATAAAAATATTGAAATTATGAACTTAAACATTAGAGGTATGAAAAAAATATAATAATATGTAATAACATTATTTTTAAAGGATAAAAAAAAAGCTTAAATAAGATACTTTATTGGATCAAGATGTATGATTAGAAACAAAAATCTTGATATTTTAACCATATTTATTAAAGCAATGAGCAAAGCATATAAATATAGGTATGTAATACGTATATGAAAGCGTATATGTTCAGATTTATATATTTTTGGAAAAAATTATCATTTAATTTATTTTGAATGAATAATCAGGATATTTTTCGATTTATTCAGCAATACATTGGTAGGGGTAGACTCTTTCCACTGTTTTGAGATTTCTAAAGAAATATGAAATTGCAATTAGTATGGAATCAATTTTCAGAAAATAACACGTTTCGGATGATCCGAGAATTGGATAAGTTGGATCCGTATGATAGGATCTCTGCTGTAGTATGTGGTAATATAAAAAAAAAATATACAAAATTATTTTTAATTTTGAGAAATTTTACAATATGTCTCAAGTAAGAAAATTTATTCTAATGTTCAGAGAGCATATTCACACTCTATAAATAGATATATATTTTGTATTTATAATTTCCAAATATATCGAAGTAATACTGTAAATAAATATTGATATTAGATAAATCGGCCCAGTGAGACAGCTTATCCGTTTTACAGAGGTGAGAGAGAAGTGGGAATGACAGACGGACACATTTAAATAAAAGTTATGTTGTGTTTTAAAAAATAAATAAATAAGTTATTTTATTTTTTTTTTATTTATTTTTTTTGTCTAGGATGTAAAATAGATATAAAAACCGGAGGTACAATGAAATGAAAAATGATTATCAGGGTCACGAGGTAGATAAGCGTATTGTCATTGACGAAGGTCGATTACGCATTTGTTTCGATAAAATCTGATTCAACGTCTTGTCTATGGATTCTTTAAAATATTTTTAACTGCAGTAGAAATCTTGATAAGTCAAAAACTTCAAAAGCGAGACGGAGGATTCCTTTTTTCATACTTTGCTAACATTTCATTATTTCCCAATAAATTAATTCATTTTCATTGATACTTGTTCCGCTAGATTGTATAATATTTGTTACGCCGAGCGGCGTGATATAAACCCCTCTTTGAATCTATCTTAAATTCATTTCGTAAGATATTAATGGGTGATATTAGATTTTTCCGAAAAATAAACCGGGATTTCATGTTTTCTTTATATTAAAACTTTATAAACCGACCTTTTTACGTTTAAACAATTATTCTTTCGTGGAGTGTCAACACTTATTAACCCTGTTCCAAAAAAAAAATGTTTTGTACTTTCTGCAGCATTTCTTTAGCTGGAAATTATTCAACATTGATCAAGATGTCAAACGGATAATTTGTTTTTGTGAGTTTAAACATGATCGGAACAGAACCCCAAACGGCCAAAAATATTGATAAATTGAGGGGGAGGGCAGTGTAAATGAACGGACCATTCAACGATGGTTTAAAATATTTCCAGAGACTTATTTACTTACTATTGACTTACCCGTAAACATTTGAGGGAATGTTGTGTTTCATTGGTGTGTTTAAAATAGATACCATTCTTTGAAATTTTATACAAAAAAAAAAAAAAAAATGTAACTGTAAGATAGATGTTGCTATTTGATCGGACCAAATTGTTATTATTGGTTAAATAAAATAAATGTTTTGAGTGAATGGCAGGTTTTAGTTTAATTCCATCTAAGGGCTCTTCACACACTACACTAAAATACACGAAGTATGATAAATACACCCTCATCCAAAACAATAGAGTTTTCCTCCAAGGGCTGGCGGATCTAGATAGGGATATCATACAGTCATTGTGCGAGTTTATAAAAGAATCTAAAATAGACTTTAAAAAAAAATAATTTAAATCGATATCATCATTCTTTTGTAAAGTAACAGTGGAATGATGACTTCAGTGGAAAGTCTTCGGTCAAGAAATGAAAATGAAAAAAATAAATAAAAGAAAAGGTTTTAGGTTTTAATGACTTTATTTTATTTTTATGAAGTTCAATTTTTAAACGCAGTCCTATTTTGCTAGATTTTTTTTTTTTATTTAAGCCGTAATTTTGTAATTTTTTTTAAAATTTTCTAAATCGATTGTGTCGTTTTCGATGTTGCTCTTTTATTTTTTATACAATTTTTTTTTAATGAAAACTTCAAGTTCATTCCTTCATGCCTCAAGTAGTTGGAATCGATAAGCGTGTTCAATCCAATAAACAACAACAACAACAACAACAACATAGAAATTGTTGGACTGGAAAGCAGTGGTACCTTCCGTTAAGTGACCCGTCGACAGAGAGTGGCTTGGTTCCTCGGCAGTTAAATACTATCATTATAGGCAGTAGTCAAAGGTTATTACATGGCTAATTATCCTTACGGTAGATCGGTGGGGTCTTCGCTCGGTTATTGTAAAAAGAAAAGAAAACAAAAAACTGGTTTCACTAAATATAAAAATTGTGATGCATACGAGGCCTATCAACAACGAGCCGAGTGCTTGCAAAATAATAATCTTATTTTATAATTATATTAATTAGACCTTTTTCAATTACGAGAAGAAAATATATTCGGAAGTTAATGTAATTACAGTCATTCCTATTTGGAGGAAAATAAGAATTAAAAAAATCATTCTTCAGGCTTGAAATCAATGTTTAGCAAAAAAATAAAATAAAAAGTAAATAAACGATAGAAATACGAATAGTGTTGCTCAAAATCGGTCTTAGCAAGACCAAGACTAAGACCGCCTAACTATTGCAAGATCAAGACTAGTAAAAAAAAAAAAAATCGATTTTTTAAATAAAAATTAAGGCAAAATAGTTACTAATACTTGACAATTTCAGTTACTATATGTAAATAATTGGTATAACCAATATACTTTTGCATTTAACTCTTCTAATTTCGCATTCGGGCTTAGTTAAGTTCCTCCGATCTAAAGAAAATACAGTAATATCTCTATAGTAATAAGCTAATAGGTAACTGCAAGACTCTTGAGCAATAACAAGACTCGTCTCGCATTTGGGCAAGACTACATACGAATCATGAATTGCCTCGAGTTCAGTAGATGTGAAAGATCGACTGTTTCTTGACCAACAGCGAAGTGTTCAGCATCCACCCTCAGGCCTGAGTATATTTACCCATCCAATCAAGGGCCACTTCAAATAAGTCCGAGGAGAGATTTCCTGCCCGCTAAGTTCCGTTCAACATGATAAAATCTAAGAATAGCTTGAACTTTCTTATAAATCGGAAAGCATTGCCATTGTGATCGATTTTAAAAACATAAGAGAGTTTATGTTAAAAAAAAAACTATGGTATGTGTATTATATGTATGGTATCATATAAAATATTTTTTTTTTGTTTTAATATACACAAATTAATTTACAATATATACAACTATGACTGCGTATAAATGACTGTGCTAAACTTTTTTGATCGTCATCCTAAAAATGAAACAATAGATTTGTGATAGTTAAAATATGGGATGAATACTATTGCTTGATACCTAACAAAAACTTCATCAATCATTGTTCCGTATTTTGTTGGGTTTTCCTAGGATTAACCATTAGGATCAACCACTAGCGGGTCCAGGATTTAATTTTGGGAGCTTCAGCCCGAAATTTTTTTTTCTTCATATATATAATGATAATTATTTTGAAAAAAAAGAAAGGTACTGACTATTTATATGAAATGGTATTTAAGTGATTCTTGAAGTCTTATCAAATGTAGTTACATAAACAATAATACTTTAAGAGATAATTTTTTTCCATAAAACATGGTTACATTTTACCATTTTGCGCGCGAAGTTTTGAATCCATCAAAGAAACCAAAGCTTAAGTATATTAAACAGTAAGGATTGGATACGAGAGGAATTCGATGGTTTAGTAGAGCTCCAAAGTTCAACTCCATAAGTCCAAATAGACCTTCTTATAGTCATATATATAATTATTTTGTAAATAATGTGTAGCTTTGTGCGTTTTTCTAGTATGCGCTACCCGGAAACGCTGATCGGTTTCCATTTTCTTCAACCCTTGATATATATTCATATATCCCTTGTCGTTGTCATGCACAGTACTAAGTAGGCACCTATTCCCAATTATTTTTATATATTCATGATATTTACAACTGTATTACAATAAAAACACATCAAGTAAATGCGGAATCATGCAATATGCAATATAATGCACATCAAGGAATATAATCACATGAAAACGCTTGTTGAGCAACTACCCACTGGTAGCACTCTAATAATAAGTCTACAAGGAGATCACGTGGTCATCTTCTTATCAGACGTTTCGGAGAGTCATCAGGAATGGAAGAGGAAACAAGGTTAGAAACGGGAGGATTCGGATGGTAATGAATTTTTTTATGGATGGATAGGTACCTGGATTGAGCCAAACAGGAAACATATGGAACATTAATGTCTTAATGAATTATCTTATTTGTGACAAATAAGGAGAATTGAGGATTTTATGAAGGATTTTGGATTGGGTACGAAAGGAGTTCGATGTTTAATGAAGCCCCATAGCTCAACTCCGTAAGTTCAAATAGGTCTTATTATAGTCATGTATATGAGTCTTTTGTAATTAATTGGAAGTTTAGAGCGTTTGTCTAGTAAGGGTTGGAGTAAGCGGAAAGGTCGTGCATTTTTTATCGTTTCAGTCTTGTATGAGGATTCAAGTAAGACGTTTTTCAACATCGAGAGTTAGGTATCGGATTTTTGTCAAGAGGGATAAGTGGGGTGTTATTAAAGGATACTGTAGGACAGCAAGTCATAGCTTTACGACTAATGGTAAAGGTGATTTGATGTGATTTACTGGAATTTATTTTAATCCTCCAGTTTTGACACCATTCTTCAGGTTTTGTGATGTGCCCGAATGTATGAATTAGTTATTTGCCCGTCTAATTTTACGGATGAATAAATAAAAGATAAGACTTTTTACTTACCGGAGGGGTTGAAAGGTAAGCCCTGTGGTGGCGGGCCGTGGTGAAAGAATTCGTGGTGGAATCCCTGGGGTGGGTAGCCGAATTCGAACTTTGCCTCCGAACCGAAGTAAGGGAAACCTCCTGGTGGTTCCTCGAGTCCTCCTGGGCTGAGGTTCATCGGGAAGCCCCTCATCTTCCGAGAGCCACCGAAGAATGGACCTCGGCCCATCGATGTGAGCTGTTTCAGCCTTCGTTCCTTGCTCCTCTTGTTCTGGAACCAGACCTGTGGAACAGAAATAAAAAAAAAATTGAAATTAAGCACTCATGATTTACTTCTTCATCATAGAATACTAAATGACACACATTGTGTCCTGTAAGTATAGTAGAATATTTAAAGACAATGGCCTGATTTTTTGCAGATAAGTGGTTAATTTACTTGTTTGTTTTTTTAAATAATAATTTACTTTTTTCGGTGAATAGAAATCAATAACTAAACAAATATTTAATTTGAGTAATTATTAATTGCTTCACTGTAAACTAGACAACATTTAATTAACTGAAAATAGAGCTTGTCATTGCTAAAACTATCTAAATAGGTCTTTTGAACGGCTAAATTAAGGTAAGTTCTGTTTTTTTAAAAAATATAAAATATTCTCAATTTTTTTCAAACACCCTCTAACAATACCACAGATACCCCATTTTTAAAAAAACTTCATTTTTTAATAAGTTTTAAGCCGATATTAATTGAATTGAGATCTATTACGAAATAAGTTGAGATGAGTTAAGTGAAAAAAATGACGTGATTTGATGTGCTATCACTTAAAAGTAACCGTGCTTTAAAATACAACTAGAATAAATAACAGTTTTTTTTTTTCATGAACTGAGAGTTACTACAATTAACACATTTTTAAAAATTAAATTTTTAATTATAAAAACAAATGTTATAATATCCTTCTAATTCAAATATTTATCGTATAAAGTCATTATGACTCCATTATGGAGCAATTTTTTTTTTTTTATTAAAAACTCCCCTAATCATTATTGTATTAAGTGACCTGCTAAATGTTCCTAATCCTAATATTTACGTTTTCATAAAAATAATTCAAGCAGTTGGTGTTTGGATATAAATCGGCATGTTTTCTGCAATAAGCTAATATGGAAGACGAGGTACGTTTCTGACAGTCGTCAAATTAGCGAAACTATAAGGAATTGCCGATAGGTTTACTGGGAAGAAGAGGACGTTGTGCCTGCCTTGACGTATTTAGCAGTATTGCTAACGCATCCCGCGATATTAATGAAAGTAGAGGCCTTCATTACTTTTTAACAGACAAAAGTAACTATTTTTATTCTATTTCTTTGAATAATTGTTTGTATACATGTACAGATTGAGTAATGAATGTTTTTCCTCGTTATATCTTAAACAGTAGTTGTTAATTAGCAGTGATTAACGTTCGTAGATAATTTTATATTGTCGTCGTGACTGTTTGTTTTTTTGTTTTTTTTGTGAAGTGCAGGTATGAAGTGACATATTTTCTGGATGAGGTCGTGACACAAGTAATTTTTTTTTTTTGCTCTTACATAAGCAAGAAGTTGATTCATACACAAATGTTTATGCCGTATTAGTTATAAGCGATTAAACCGTTCTATAATAATAAGATGTAAAACGATAAAAGTAATTTTAGATCCTGGAGTCCTGCCTTGGCTTCCACATCAGGGGATAAGGCATGACTCAGAGTATTGTACATAGATGTGAATGTGATTTATTTACTTTAATTTCATTTAGCTTTTATCTATTATTTCATTTTTTCTGTACACAGGCATATCAATTTACTTATTTTATTTTTTTTATATTTCTTTTTCTTTATTGTTGAAATATTAATTGTATGTACATATTGTGTGAATGATTCATGTAGCCTTAATATTAATGCCCTTTAATGTGGCAGAATGTATTAATATTCAATAAAGAAGTAAAAAAAAATAAAAAAATTGTATACTAACATAATTGAATACGATTAAATGAAAATTGTAACAACCATATCCGAGTCAACCCTACTTATGACGTTTTTTTTCAAGTATAAACTCAAATAAAATTATTAAAACATTTCTGCAGAATTTAAAACTTACAATAAATTACAATAAAAATTAATGTTATGAACCGTTGTAGCAAATTTTATAAATTTAGTTCTATTGTGGTGAACCGGAGCGGACAGCTGTGACCCGTAGACACACTGATTACTTATTTACAGAAATCGATTTCACTCATCGCGGCTGTGGTCATGAGCGGCTCTGACACTAACAACCAACCATTAAAACAATCCCGAATTAACTTTTAGCATGGTGTCATAATAAAAACAAAAATTTAATTCATCATTTCATAAAATTATTATTCAATTACTCGAAAAGATTTGTATTCGCCAACTTTTGGGAGATGGGGAGGATAGTTTTTGAAATATATATATATATATATATATATATATATATATATATATATATATATATATATATATATTATATATAATAATCGTATGTAATTTCAATAAAATTTTACGTGAATTTAATTTTTTTGTTTAAAATAAAATAGTACTAAAGGACCAAATATGTTGGTTTATTAATAGAGATTAATTAAGTGGTATGGATTTAAATAACAGAGATTAGTGTTGCACAAATGCGAGAACGAGACGAGTCTTGGTCTTGCAAACTCAGTCTTGGTCTTGCGCAAGAGTCTCGCAACATTGTAGCAGTTACTTATTAGCTTATTACTATTGAGATATTACTATAATTTTTTAGAGAGGAGAAACCTAACTAAGCCCAAATGAAAAATTAGAGGAGTTAAATGCAAGATTGTCAAGTATTAGTAACTATTTTGAACTAATTTTTTATAAAAAAGTCGATTTTTTTTACTAGTCCTGGTCTTGGTCTTGCAACAGTTAGGCGGCCTTTTGGGATTTTGGGCAACACTACGACCAGTAATAAAAATAATAATTTGTATAGTTATTATTTATTTATTAAGTAAAATCCAGGATTAATTTATTTAGGATTATTTAGGGAGGACATCAGCTCAAAAGCTTTTATTTTTATATATAATGATAATTACTTCGGAAGAAAAAGAAAGAAACTATCTATATCAAATGGTATTTAAGTGATTCTTGAAGTCCTATTAAAATTAATTACACAAACACAAATACCTTTAGAAATAATTATTTAATATTTTTTTCATAAGACATGGTTCTATTTTTCTATTTATGCGGAGTAAAGGGGGAGGGGGAGAGAGGTGGCCTTAGTCTAAAAGTCCAAGGGGAGGCTTTAGTCCAAAAGTCTATAATGTAAGGGTTTTACAGAAGCTATATTTTCAATCAAAATTGTGTTTAAAAGTTCTGTTGATTTCGCAAAAAATCCAATCTAAAAAATTACTTTAGAAGCTGTTAAAATGAAATTTTAAAAAATCCACGAATTTTTTAACCCTCGCCTAAATCGATGACTAAATGAGGCTTCGTTGGTATTGAATTCTTTTATTTTTTATTTTTTTTTTCGTAACTGATAACATTATTTTCAAAAGGCAGGATGCGGACTAGTGCGGTTATATCGTAGTCAGATTCGATTACAGCGGAGGCTCAAACAGTGTAAACAGCGTTGTAACCTATCGAAAACAATAGAGAAGGAAAGAAAACATCGCCCAGATGTTGCAAGTTTATCGAGTGGCGTCTGTAAACAAGGGCTCCAACCATTGCCCGGGGCATCCCATCCACGCTTCGCCCTATTGAGCACGATAAATTATTGAGTCCCACTTGTTTGAAAAAATTAAATGCCCTCAGGCCACAAAGACTTGGTTTGCAAACTGGATGGGACCCCTCTTGACGTGGTTTGTAATGCATTCGTAATGCTTTACAATGTTGTAACAAATTCGCAAAGTTGTAAATCATATTAAAAAAACTGCATATAACGGTATCCTGTATCAATGATTTGGTTGTAGGTTATCAGTTATATGAAGTAAAGCATTTGGTCCATCACTTTTTTATTTATTTTTTTTTTTGAAAATGGTTCCGACGGAAATTACAGATCACTATGAAACTAAATTCAGAGATTTAGATGTTTTCGATTTTTTAAAATTGCTTATTCATGATATTTACAACTGTATGAAAATCAAAATACATCTAGTGAATGTGAACAAAGGAATATGACGACTTGAAAATACTTGAGTTGAGAAACTATACAGTGGTAGCACTCTAATAATATATCTGCATTAGGGATCGAAGAGGAAGCAAGATTAGCAACTAGAACAAGTTTACAATGGAAGGATAGGTATCTGTAATTCAATAAACCCCGCAGTAAACACCTAATAAAGAATTATAAAAATAAATAAAGAATCCGTGGTTTATAACCAACAATTTTAAAATCGTATTCACATGTCTTCAGAAAATATAATTTATTTGAAATTATAAAAATATTTATATTTAACGATCCATTTAGTAAAAAAAAAACTTAAATGCTTTTATATATGGTTTAGTGTAAAAAATATCTATGTAGGCATTTAACCTTTATAGTTAGTTATATATTTATATAAAAATGTGTACTTTTATTTCATTTTTTATTTATAAATATAATAATATTATGTCACTTGGACAATAATTACAGGGAAGGCGAGACCACATTCATACCATATATACAGAAAAGACAAAACAAATAGAAAAAAAATAACAACTAAATAATAATCAAAAAGTACATACAATTAATACAAATAAAATAACTTAAACATAAGTAAATTAAAAAGAGCAAATTCAAACGTATATTTTCCTAACAGTGAATATTTACTTACTAGCAACCATAGTACACTATTATAAACGAAACGATACGATCAGTAACGACTCGATCCAAATTAAAACCACTACGAAAGTAACACTCCAGAACATTTACGATAATCACATTTCACCTTTCTTAGTGAATTGTTATAATAATCAACACATCTGTTTTAACTTGAAGAGAGTAGGAGGGTAAGCCCTCCACCAATTTTTAAGTATATACATACATGTGTAAATTTATCATAATACACACGATACACATAATGATGTTTTATATTTCAATTTTTAACACTCTATAAAAATTTAACTTTTAATATATTTTATAACTTAAATTATTTAATATTTTCCACGGGTTATGTTGCCCCAGACTTTTGTACATTTATAAGCCTATTCTTTTAAGGGTTTAATAAAACGCTTAATAAAAGTTTTTACTAGGCACAAATCATTACTTTTTTTTCGTGCCAGATAGTTCTAAAATCTATAAACAAATAAAAAAACTATATTTTCTCCCTTCATTTTTTTTTTTTTAGGACAAATCGAAAGAATGATATTAATAAATTGTAGAATACAAAAGTAAGGAAGTGCTGAAATCGATTCCACCTCTGCATGTTCCAGACAGCGGGTTAATATTGAAGTAATGAAAATAATATTATATTCAAATTTAAATTTTATTTACAATTAATTTTATTATAAAAATAAAACCATGAAATAAATTAATTGACGAATTTCATTAAAAAATTGTAGGTTAACACTGGTGGATAAGCACTGGTGGATCTACGTGGGGAAGGGGATTATCGGACTGAAGTCTACTCTAAAAAAATAGACTTTTTTTCATTGGTCAGTATTTGTTACCGTGAGAGGTCTAAGTACTTAATAATCTAATAAGTGATAATAATCTAAATACTTAAACAATAACAATATGTTCTATTATTAAAATTATAATAGATATACAGGTACTACATATAACTATGTCTTATGAAAAAAATATTTAAAAAAGTTCTTTAAAAATATTACTGTTGGTGTAATTAAAATTTTTATAGGACTTCAAGAATCACTTAAACATCATTTCATATAGGAAGTTAGTTTCTTTCTTTTTCTTTCCAAGTAATTATCGCTATATACATATATATATATATATATATATATATATATATATATATATATATATATATATATATATATATATATATATATAAACCATTCTGATGGAAGTCTTCCCCAAAAAAAGTCTGGATCCGCTATTGAATCATGGCAAAGATTTAGTCAATTAAACTTTAAGCTGTCTAAAAAACCGTTCGACACATTGTCACTATAGTAAAATGTGAATCACTCCCATTATTTTAGTTAATTTTATTCCTTGGCTTATTTTAAGCTTTAAAGAAGTTAAAGCCATTTCTTCAAACTTGGGATTATTTGAAATTCGAAAATAAATTATTCATTTACACCGACCTCAAACTAAAATATAGGCGTCGATCGCTATTGGGACGGTGGGGCTGAAATGGTCCATTCGTCCCACACGATAATAAAATAACTTCTTAAAATAGAATCTTACAAATTTGTATTAACGAATGCATTACAATAAATAAATTTACTATTATTAGATAGATAGATAGATAGAAAAAAAAACTTTATTCTGGGACTAAGTCCCTTCAGAATAACAATAATGTACAAAATAATAGAATATTACTGGCCTGAACGTTGAAACAATAAATAAAATTGATAAAATAAAATAAAAAGTAAAGAAAATCTTAGGTGCACAAGCTATATACAAACAGATAAAACTATGCACAGAGCATTTAAAATTATGAACAAAACAATTAAAACTATGAACGAATCACTTGAACTATGAACAAAATTATATTTAAGGGTTGAACAACATAAACATACACTTTGAGAAATGAAGAACGAAAAAGAGATACAATGAGTTCATTTCATAAAAAAAAAAAAAAAAACTTTACTTGAATATATATATAAAAATAAACAGTTACTTATAATTGAATAAAAAAAAATATATATAAAAAAAAATGTATGTATTGAAATTCCTACGTCGATAGTAGGAAATGCATGTACTATCTATTACCAAGTGTTATGATTATATGATTGCTACTCAATACATATATAATATCAATAGTTAGCTGGTATCAGACTGTTTTTGGAACAGGAATTGGAATAGGAGGTTTTTGAATGTATACAGGGAAGGGGCATGTCGAATTTTGATCGGGAGGGAATTCCAAAAGTTGACAGAGCGGGCTATAAAGGAATTTTGGAATGAGGCAGATCTATGAGAAGGGATGTATAGGTCAGAGGGTCGGGATCTTGTAGTGAGAGAATGGATTGAGGACTTAAATTGGAGAAGGTTGTAGGCATAAGAAGGACGATGATCGGTAATGATTTGATAAAGGAAAGTGCCAAGGAAATATTGTCTTCTTAAGGAGGGGAAGAGCCACCCTAACTCAGTGTAGTGGTGGGAGACACGGGAGCG